TGAAGTAAACTGGAGGCTATTGCTTGCCGCAGAAACATCATGTCAAGTCAGAACGGAAACATTACCAAATATTTCCAAGCAGTGTGGATTTTTTTAATAACAAGGCCAAGTAATCCTTTCAGAAAAAATACCACAGACCATTTTCAGCAGTTGTGTCAATGTTCTTCAATTACAACCTAGACACAAAAAGGCAAATGCTTAGCTTCTCAAGAGTTTGAGGCAGTATATTAAAATGCTGCTGAATCTTGCTGTTACCAATCTCTGCCACTCATGACACAAACCTTTGCTCCTAAACAAGCAGCTGATCCACTAGTGAGTCTCATTCTGAAAGGCAATTCCCAGCCTGGTATGTTACAGTTAAAATAAAGTTATTCAGACTAGGTTTAATGCAGTGGGATGAAAAACTAAGCCTTTTGACTGTTCAGCTATTCTGTTTCCAACAAAGTGCTCTTGACACCAACGCTCCCACTCCTCTGTTGCACTTCAGTCAACCCGTTCTACCTGCTGGAGTCTTTTAAGTACCTGTTCCTAGTACTTGCTCACTCCCTTCTCACCCACAGTGTGCCGAGTTATTCAGACATGTTAGTGTGACAGAGAAGGGAGCGGGGAAAAAAGAAACAAAAAGAGGAAATGCATTTTTTGTGCAGTAACTTCCTTCACAATCCTCCTTCTGACAACTAACATACTAGAACTCCCTATACAAAAAGTAGCTTTAAAATACTGCTATATATAGTTTGCTCTTATTCTGCCGTATATATGGACTGATAATTTATTTCAACAAAGATTTTTTTAATGAGATGGAAATTACCCACTTACCGTTGACTGGATAATTCCCAAATTATCAATGTGACCCTTTGAATATTCCAATAGCTTTTACTACTGATGTAATTTTTTTAATGCCATTAAAACAAAAAAAAAAAATGCATTCAAAGTCCTTAAAAGTTAACACTACAATATTACCCAATCACTCTATTGTGAGCTTGAGTTGTATCTTTGCTCTGCTAGAAACAGTCATGCACGTGTGCTCTCACAGCATGCTCTCTGTGGGAGGAAAATTGCACTACAAAATTCTCAGAAATTCAATGCCTTACTGCCCCATAAACCTCACCTCTGCTATACTGCTTAAACAACTACCACCTAGAACAGATAACTGAATTGCTTGATTTACTGCTAATGATTAAGAATCGTAACACATTCATCTGTGCTGAAGTACCTTAAGTGTATAGTCCACCAACTAAGTTCTCTGAGCAGTGACACTCACATATAGCTTTTTTACATAGTCCAGTTCTGATCTACTAAGGACCTTAAGCCACACCAAAATATATAAATATTTAAAAGCAATGCATTTTGTAAACACATTTGGCCAAATGAAACTATGGCAACAACACTATCTGGGTTCTCAAATTCTCTAAAATAAAAAAAATTCCATATTTTTCTCATTTGGATTACTCCAGTCTTAAAACTGAATTATCGTATTTTATCTCTGCTGCCAAAATAAACATAACAGCAATGCTCAGCACACAAGAATAAAGTACTTGGAAGAAACCTCTAACAGTCTCGCTAGTGTAATTTTTTCTAACCACTGCATGAATTGAATAATATACCTAAAACTGCAAAACTCAGGGGCAATGTTCATAACTGACTGCTAAAGACTAGCAAGTGTTACAAGTAAGAAAACCACAGGGGCGAGAAAAGCATGAGGAAGAAGCTCAGCTGTCACTGACCAACCACTTTAATCTGTCAGCATCAGAGTCACAACCCACCCAGCATTGCACTGGCCAGCTTGCTGAGTTCTCTCGGAAAAATTTCAGAGTATTGCTGCACTAGAAACAGAAGTGCTGCCTGACGGGACTTGGAGGAAAGGGGTGAGAAGAAATATCCTACAGACAGACACACCGTTAAGATACAGACAATACAACATTTGATTCAGTAACTAAATTAGAAGTAGGAAAATGCGATGTGCCCTAGAGATAAAGCAGCCAAAAAGTAGGAAAAGCAACCCCACACTTTACCTGCATAAAGCACTCACAGTGAGCACAAACAGAAGCAGCAGATTCTGACTGGAACATTCAAACCAAAGGGTAGAGGTCAAATAGTTCCCCAGGAACTCTCCACTACTGCCAGCCATTGAGGGCAGAGGACTACCGCTAACAGCTGAGCTATAGTTCAGCCAGGGATTTTATTCAATCTCCTTGTGGGACTACAACATACCCCTGCAGCAAAAGAGATTGAGCTGAAAAAAGTGGTGTTGTTGGTTTTTGTGGTTTTTTGTTTTGTTTTTCACAACTATTACTGCATTAAAAAATACACACTAAGAACAGAACTATTAAAACAGTGGTACACATAGGCTGGCATAAGGTTGCCAGCAACACATTGACAAGAAGCAAGAACTCATTTACACAAGGATTACTGCACATACTATTCAGTCATTAGGACCAAGCTATTTTTATAAGCAAAAGTTACAGCTTTACCTCTTTTTAGAAAGAGAGAGGGATGGCACAGAAAAAGATCAAATGCTGTTTACTTTACTAGCGTAAAAATAAACCCCTCACACTATTTTCCAATTTTACAAAGATACTTCTAGAAAATTGTTTGAACTGAGTGTCTCACAACAATTTTTTTTTTTCATTTTGCGTAACAGCTTCAAACAAATACTTTTAAACACTGCATACCTATAGTACTATAGGTTCACAGGCACCTCTGGGAAAATGAGTACCAGAAGCAAACTATCCAAAAACATCCCAATGTGCAGCATTGCTTCCTCCCTTCTTTTAAATTTAAATAGGTAAAATGCTACAGAAATTAATTATACTAGTCAAATTTCTTATTAAAAAAAAAAAGTCCAACATTCACAAAAAAAGAAAAAGGCAAGACTACTGAATATACTCTTTGAATGATCTCTTATAATACAAGCTGCGCTGATTTTTTCTGTTTCTGTAAGAAGAGAGGTATTCAAGCAACATGTGAAAACTCACATTTTCTGGAATAAGTATTTCAAGCCTAACGTTCATCTATGCTGATTCTTCAATTACTTACTAACTTTCTGTAATCCTCGCTGTCTGAAGCACTGGAAGTATTGTATTTGCTCACAGTGAAGTGCCATGAAACACTTACATCAACAAGGCAAGAATATTATAGAGAACCTATCCATTTAACGCATATAAACTTTAAAAAAACCCTACATAGGAATACAGAAATTAAGTGATATTTAACACGGAACCATCCATGGTAACACAGATTCTAAAGTAAGATTTATAGTGTCAAGACCACCCCGTGCGATCATTTTCACTATTCCTACCCAATTGTATGTCCTCAAATGAATGTCGTACGTAAGACACACTAGAACTCCCGCCAACGTTTGTAGCAGTTGTCACAATGGGAAATTCCTTCTATTGCAGTAAGATTTAGTTGCTCAATTTAAGTGGAAGCAACTAATAAAGGTATGCAGTAAAGCAGGGAAAAAATATATCCAGTTTGAAGTCTGATCACACACCAAACAGGGATCAAGTACATGCCGGAACTGAGTAATAACAAGGGTTTTCTTTAAGTATATTTTAAAGATAGCAATGAAAATAAAGAGGATATGCTAAAGAAGAGAACACTTGATATGGACGTTTTGCACTGTCGTGTTTAAAAGTGCATCAAACTGCAATCAAAACATAGAGGCTGAACTGAAGCAGGTAATTATGCTATTCAGTACAAGAACCATGCATAAACTAGTACACCTTCTTGCTTTAGTGTGTTGAACAGAAAAAGGCTTGCCGAAAATCTTCTGTTCCTCTGTAGTTTATAGTCAACGTTCACGTACCAAATCATATAAAAATTGCACAGAGTCTCAAGAAAAACATACAAAATTTCTTTACGTTCACCATTTTCTTACATTGCAGTGTTTGCCAATGTATGGTATTGTTTGGGTATTTTGGATGGCCAAGTGCACTTATCTCTGTGTAAAAGATGGAATTCTTTAACAAAGAAAACTGGAAGGCAGGAAAACAAACGCAGAGTATAAGACCAATTTCAGACCCAAGTGTTTTTGGTCTTCTTTTTAGCGCTGCACTACTCTTCTGTAACTAGACGGACTTGCAAATATCAACAGGGCAACAAGCCATCTTTCAAAAAAGAATTCAGTGTTGTACTAATTAAGCAATATTTTAAATTAAAACCAGACATGTTTATCAAAAATTACTTTTTCCCCTCCCAAAGCCCCCAAAATAGAATTTTCTTATACAATGTTACTCTCTAAGAACTTGACTATACCGAAGTATCACACTATCACTAGTAACACACATCTCCGTTCTCACAATCTTCTTGAGCTCTTCTTGCCTAATAATGAAGTAAATCCAGTTAAAATGTAGACTTTTAAAGAGTCACAAACACCACACAGTAAAGTCCTGATCTTCACTTGATGACTCTAGATGTTTCTGGTATGTATTATACAGAAATACAAACTTTCAGCAGCTTTAGAACTGAAGATCCAGTACATCACAAGACACAGATCGGAACAGAAGAGTAGCTGTTACAGACATGTAGAAAACTGTGTTGCTTTCTATAAGAATTGCACTTGTGTTTATTGAAAAGTTTGACACTGGCATTCCAAACAGTAACAGCAATTCATAAAATATAATGTTCCAAAATGACTTTCAAATGGTGTAACTACATCTATGTTAAGAACGCAAATAATGGCAAAGATCCAAAACAACATGAGGGAGGACAAAAATTAAAATACGTCCTACTAAAATACGTCTTTCAAATTATCATCTGAAATTAAAATTTACAGAATAAGCCAGTAAACAGCAAATACTGCAGTGTCAATTTGAAGTTGTGTAAGATATAGCAAACTTGGTTTAAGGGGAAATAAACACATCAAAACAGTAATCAGATTCTAAGCACACACATCAACAGGAAGAACATCTTTAAATTCTAGAACTAATATACTTTGAACAAGCAATGCAAATGCAATGCATCGTCTTAAATACTAGAAGGAATTTCATTAGACATACCTTTTCTCTCTGTTTTCTGTGCAGGGATGGAAGATGTGGATGTAGGCAGTTTTGATAAAGTAGATGCTCCATTAGCATCAAAGGATTTCTTTGGCTGGTGATCAGATTGTAGAGAAAATGGACTAGGAGGAACAGTGCTTGGGGTAGCAGTTGGATGAACCACTGGTTTGATGGGATGCTGTACTGGAGTAGAACTACTGTGAGTCTCTGCTCTTGGCAGTCTGTAGTCTCTGTCATTGTGCCTGCTTGTTTGAGATAAAATATTCTGTGGGAGCATACTTCCGGCGTCACTGGAATGCTTGTCTTCCACTTTTTTCAGGATTCCCCAAGTAACGTTGCAATAAGACAAAAAGATTAAATTAGAAACTTGTCTAAGATTGCAGTGACTTTGATTAATACAGCTGCCCATCAACAACTAGAGCTGATTGAACTTCTTATGATTGAAAAAAGCCTCAAGTAGATCAGCATCAAAAAAGCCAAATTTAATTTTACTCACTGACAAAATGCATTTTCTCTGACCTTTGCTTGATTTAGAGTTCCGTTTAAGCAGTGTTTTGATGAAAGGCTGCTTTATAACGAGTGTTACAGTCAAGTTAACTTTTGAAGTCTCCTAAAAAATCTAATCAAAATCTATTATTTCCATCTTACATTTAGTGTGAAGAGATAATTCATGCCATTTTTCTTTTTTTGAAAATCCTGAACATTGAGTATAATTTAATAGTTTCAAATTCTAGCCTTCAAAGAATTCCACTTCAACTCACTTGAGTACTACTAGAAAGAATTTACTTTCAGTTGAATTAATTCAAGATGACTATATATTAAATGAGCGACTAATCTACATTTGTCACACGATCATAGACTTTAAAATATTTTACACAGGGAACATACCAAGCAAATATAGAGTAATTATTTTTATTGATTCCTAGATTTTCACCTGTCACAAAACAAATAGTTACTGCAATATGCACTTCTGCTCTTTTTGTAGCATACAGTATGTTTTAGCATATGCAGTATGTTTCAGCATACACAGAAAAACAGCCCTTTATACATCTCTGACTTGTCAAGTACCAAGCAAGGGATAGGGCGGGGG